ACAGAGATCCCTTCTGTAGAACTATGCTCCATCACAGGGATCCCTTCTGTATACCCATGCTACGTCACAGAGATCCCTTCTGTAGAACTATGCTCTATCACAGGGATCCCTTCTGTATACCCATGCTACGTCACAGAGATCCCTTCTGTAGAACTATGCTCCATCACAGGGATCCCTTCTACAGAACCATGCTACGACACAGGGATCCCTTCTATAGAACCATGCTCGGTCACAGGGATCTGTTCTACAGAACCATACTACGACACAGGGATCCCTTCTGTAGAACTATGCTCCATCACAGGGATCCCTTCTACAGAACCATGCTCCGTCACAGGGATCCCTTCTGTAGAACCATGCTCAGTCACAGGGATCCCTTCTACAGAACCATACTACGACACAGGGATCCCTTCTAAAGAACCATACTGCAATAAAGGGATCCCTTCTGTAGAACCATGCTCCATCACAGGGATCCCTTCTGTAGAACCATGCTCGGTCACCAGGATCCCTTCTTTAGAACTGTGCTCTGTCACAGTGATCCCTTTTGCAGAAGATAGAGAGCTATTGAAGTAGTTTACATTGGGAAATCTTAAGGTAAGATTTGTATTTTATTTAGCTAAATATAACTGAAGAATGAGGGTGCATTAATGGGGTTAGACTAGGGGTAAGGAGACCAAGTTACAAGCTGCTCCAACAGTTCAGGAGAGCAGTGATGAGGGCCTGACTAGGGTAGTGGAAGGGGAGATAGAGAGGAGTTAGGGGTTTGCTGATTGATGGGCATGGGGGTGGGTATGGGAGAAAGTGTAAGGAGTGGCCTCCAGGTTTCCAGCTCAGGAGCCTGCATGGATGATGGCACTGTTAAGTGAGATAGGAAATGCTGAGGGGGGGAGCAGGTTTAAGGAAGGAATGGATTCAGTCTGAACATGTGGTTTTAGGCTGCATGTGAGTTCATCAATCAGAGGAGATGTTCACCAGTTCTAGAAGTTTTCCCATAGCTAACAGTTCACAGAAGCACTGCAATTTTATTCAGTCATGGGAAATATCTAGTTATTCTAAATATTGTTTAAAAATAATATCTGAATATTATTAAAATAATCCCTAGGAACATTTAATATTATCATATGGAAATAATAGAATGCATTTATTTGATAAAGATTTATTGCACATGTACCAGGTTGTAAGCACTATAGTCTATAAGAGGTGTGGTACGTGCTTTGCTTATAAACCTATAAAATAAGAAATGCTTCCCCTGCCATGAGACCAGAAGAACTGGATGGTGTCTGGCTACCATTATTGAACCCATTGATCAAAGAGTCTATAGAAGAATCCTGATCAAAAGGGGGAAAATTCAGAACAGAACTTCAAATTCTCATGGAATCCAGACTTCGGGAGTCATGGATGATGGATGAACCTCCAAAACTACTGCTCTAAGATAATATTCAAATCATAAACCAAAAATATGCCCTGAAGTCTTCTTAAAAGCGAACAATAGTTTAGCTTAACTAGCAAAGAATTCTGTCTTGAGCATTGATTTTTTTAAGATCTATCTATATGGGATCAAAGTGACAACAGCAACTTGAAAGATTGGATAGGGAAATTAAAGGGCAATGAGTTTATGTTAATGGAGGAGGAACAACTGGGAAAAAGAGGGTGAGAATGGTTGCCCAACTCAAAGAATGTAATCAATGTCACTGAACTGTACATGTAGACATTGTTGAATTGGTATATGTTCTGCTGTGCATATTCTCAACAAAAACAAAAATAAATTATTAAAAAAAAGAAACGTGGAGACTCCATGAAAGTTTGTAATTATGCAATTTGTTACCTATTACTCTTCTACTTAACTACAAGGCAAGTCACCTCTGTGAGCCTTAAGCGCTGAAGTACTAGGGGTTGGAAGAATTGCCTTTCAGAATTAATTGGAGAAGAAAGAAAATCTAGAAAATTTAACTGGAAATGCTTACTTTGCTACCATTCTGCCACTTACTGATCAGCAATTTTAGAGAAAGGATATGTTCTACATTAATCAACATTTGTAAGCTATGAGTGGTAAGCATGTGTAGCATGTCACTGCTGAGGGTCTTCCCATTACGGGCGAGTCGAGCTGCCACAGGTAGAAGTCACTCCTCAGACCTGCACAACATCAAGGCTGCCATCCATGCAGATCACAACGTGGATGATGCCCTGGAGTTGGGCAGCACAGCTGTCCTGATATAAATGGTTGCAAGTAATACTTTCATAACGAGGAGGATTCAGACCTGTCACGCACTGGACTGGCAGACTGGGACTTTATAAGAACTACATATAAAGAGTCCAGATTTGCCTCTCTTCTCCAATTGTACAACACTTAAGTGTTGTGAGGCATCAGGGTAGCATAGAAAGACAGAGAAAAATTCCAAAACGAGGTACTGAACAACCTTGTAAAATTTTCAAAACAGTTAATCTGAAGCCATTTAGAGGACTTTAAGGTCCACCAGGAAGATATAAATGGTCAAGGTAGTGAGGACGACAGCAGGGTATGTGAGGAGACTTCTTTGTAGAGGGATGTGGCTCTTCTTTCTGTCACCCCAGCCCCAAAACGATGTGGTGGGGAGTAAGGGATGCTACGTTCTCCACCCAAAGCCCTACTTTAAGCAGGACCACTCGCAGATCTTGAAATGTGTACCTTGGGATTTGGGCACAACTGACATCCAACTTCCACCCAGAAAACCCAGCTGGCGAGAAGAGAGTGGACGCTTTGGTGGCAGGTCCAGGGGCTGCTGCGTCAGGGTCAACCTGCACTAGTGCAGCAAGGACGGAGGGAGGGAGAGGGCACGAGGTACCCTTCTGACTGCTGCTCAAGAGGGTTGATTGAGCAGTAATGGGATCCCATCAGGAAGAGTCCAAGAGGAGTGGACAGTGGGGAGCTGAGGGCAGGTGATGGGTGACAGTGGGGGAAATAGAATTCCCTGGGGTTAGAAGGTTACAGTGGAGCCTCTGTGACAGAAAGGGCAGTCCAGTCAGCTGCCAGCCCAGAACGTGAAGCCCTCTGATGATAACGTGAGCCCCGTCGGAACACCCCCTACCGCCACGGTCTCCCGTCCTGACTTGATGGCCCTGGGAGGGGGTCGGCAATGCAAGTCAGTTTACTGGAGGGTGGCTGGAAGGGGGTATGTGTGAGAAAAGCAGCAGCCAGCTGCACCAGCTGGCAGATATCCTGACTGCCACGTATGCTCGCTGGACAGGGGAGAGGCTTCTACTGGGTAAGTGATCAGCGTTGTGATTATTTTCTGTGGCTGGCCAACGCTATTTAAAGTAATGGTAGAACTTTCCATTAGTGAGGAATGATGAAAAAGTTCAAGGGACCCCCAGTGTTTTGCATTCAGGTGCACGAAAAAACCTTCCTCATAGGATACAGTTAAGAGAGACAATGATGGTCAGAAACACAGTCATTTTTAGGGTTACACTCGTATCCCATTTGTAAGAATCACCATGAACGTGCCGACCACCACACCACAGGCAGACAGGTTAGAGGCCTCTGCAGATAAAGACCAGGATCATCCAGGAGCTCAGCCTTAGGACTGGAGCCCCATGTCCAGTGGGCTGAGCCAAACACTGGTGGAGCACTGAGGCTGCAACACTATACAAAAATGACATTGGGCAGGTGCTAGCAGGAGCGGAATTTCTCTGCTTCATGAGTCTCTGACGTGATTTAAAGTTACAGGTGAGAGAGAGAAAATTAGGAGTGAAAAATCTGGCTCTCTGGAAGTCTGCACAATCACAGAGAAAGAACTACCAGTCCAAATTCTATTTAGAGGCCACTTTTCTAACAGCATAACAATGTGAATAGATCATGGTTCCTTATTTATCTGATAGTCTTATTAACAAGACTATACTCTCTCCAGACTCATTAAGGAGAATCCAAAGAAAAACAAACACCTGCCTTTTGTTTAGGATGTGTAAGAAAGCAGTGTTTGGAACCCTCTCTTTCTGGTCCCTCTGGATGGGTTTCAGATAGTGGATATTCTGTGTTGTGCCCTCACTAAGTTCTCTTTGTTTGGTATCCACTCTCACCATGAAATTGTTTCAATATGCCTCCAGAATTCTATTTGATGCAGTCAAAAGTCATCTGTACAGTAGATTTGGTTAATTCTGGAATGGTCTTTACCCAATTTTAGTCAAATCCCTTCTCTTTTACTTTTTCATTTCTCTGGCATATTCTGACCCTAAAATTCTGTCTGGATTGGTCAATCCACCTGTATAGTTAGAATGCTTAAACTCTTTTGCTCTCATTTAAAATACATGTTAAGCTAAATTTTTGGTTCCAATTAAAACACAGACTTGGTTGCTTAACAATGGAGCATATGTCACTTTCACAAGGAGAGTGGTCTCTGTGTTTGCTCCTGCCTAGCAGTGATCGCTGATCTATTTCAGATGGTTAATAGTTGTGTGGGATGAAAGAAAGTTCCAGTTCAGACTGGAGAGCCAAAATTAAGGTTCATCCCTTAACTATCTATTTGTGAAACTTTTTAGGTTGTCTGGGTGGTGGTTTTAACTTTTAAAAAATTATAAGCAGCAATTCCCTGGCTTAATGGTAAATTTCTAGAGGATAAAGACTCTTTGGATCGTCATCAACTCAAAAATAGTCCAGGAAAATCAGAAGCATGAGAAGACGATTTGTTGAATAAATTGAAAGAGAGCTAAATCTTTATGCAGTAAATCCCAATCCAAATTCCAATGGCATTTTTTAATGAGATGGAGAAACAAATGACCAACTTCATTTGGAAAGGGAAGAGGCCCCAGATAAGTAAAGCATTACTGAAGAAGAAGAACAAAGTCGGAGGCCTCACACTATCTGATTTTAGAACCTATTATACCGCCACGGTAGTCAAAACAGCCTGGTACTGGTACAACAACAGATACATAGACCAATGGAACAGAATTGAGAATGCAGACATAAATTCATCCACCTATGAGCAGCTGATATTTGGCAAAGGCCCAAAGTCCATTAATTGGGGAAAAGACAG